GCTTAGTTTTACCTGCCTTGACCTGAGACCACGCTCATGTGTAGCAGGCTCCTTTCCCTGCATAAGCTCTGCAGGGCCACCTCCAGCTGTTCTTGGGATTCTCTCCCCCCTCAATTCTGGTTTTGTGCTCATGTCTGCTCCACAGTTGCCAAGTGCCACACCAGAACTAGCTGCATTTCTATGTCACAGAAATGATCCTTGAAGTTTCCTGGCCGGGGACATCAAGCTCCCCATGTACATGTGTAAGTATTAGACAATGTGCTACCCTGACACCTAAGGACAGCTTCATTACATCTAGACCAGCAGTGCTTGGCGGCCACAGCCAAGAGCAGAGCCCTGTCAGTTGCTGGCTGCACAGCCACTTAGCAGAGGGCAGTCCCTACACCAGCACATTTGCAGTCTAGATGAACAAGGCAGAGGAACACTGGGAGAGGAAGTTCTTAGTCATCAGCTCTGCATGGTCTCCTCCCTCTCCTTGCAGGAGCTTTTCCACTGCCTGTTTCATGGCAGGTCCCAGGCTCAAGCTGGTGCCTCTCCCCAAGTGCAGTGAGCAGGTTCCACAGGGGTGCCAGGCAGACCTATCTTCCAGCCAGGTCCAGCTCTTCATCTGGCACCCAAATGCACGAAATGGGTTGATGGCATGGGAAACAGAGCAACTGCTGCTGTAAGCCAGCTGCCCTTCCCCACTGGCACCTGCCTTTGGATGCTTGATCCTGCCAAGAGCTTTTGGAGTTCTAGAAGGGAAGAGAGTTGGATTCACTAAAGAGATTTTCTTGCTGTCACTTGGGACAAAAGCAAAAAGAGCAGGAAAAAGCCAGAGGGCTCTTTAGCCTGCCAAGTCCCTGGCTGGGTTCTATAGTCCTCATGCAGCTCAGTGAGGAAAGCCTGGCTTGCTGTGCTACCAGGAGTCTCACACATCACCCACACAGCCTCAAAGCACATCCCTGGGCAAGCACAACACAGTCCTCATTTTCAAGACAAGGAAATGGAGGAGATGCAGGGGCCCAAGGCCAAAGTCAGTAGCTGGTGCATCATTTTCCTAGACCAAAGCAAATGCTCTCTCCACTCAACAACACTACCAGGAACACTGAGGGCAGCACCTGCCACGTACATCTCTGTATTCATCCATCCCAGCAAGACAGCTTTTCTAGAGTCCACCTAGGTTAAGTGTCTGGTTCTGCTAATCATGCCCCTGACAGAGTGTTCTGCAAGAGAGGAAACAACTACACTCATTAGCTGACCTTGGATTGAGATCTAATTATCCAAATTCTGATCTGGTTAAATATAAAAGGCAATTTCCTTGGAAGCATTCATGATTAAGATTCTTCTGGGATTAGCCAGAGCCTGTTTGCTAACAGGCAACAAAGACCCCTTTACTGAACCCTACTCACTGGAGTACCTGCCTGCTCTTAGAGTCTTGGAACTGCAGGGTCTGTATGCCTGACGATGGATGACTGCGCTCGAAAGTTTGCTAAGAACTTTTTTCCAACTACTCAAATTGTTCTAGTAAAAGATATTGCATCTACTCAAAGAACCTTGCCTGCCTTGGCTCCACCTATGCAGCAAGCTGGGCTAGGCACAACAGGCGCCCATAGAACTTGTTTCCCCAGCAATAAGCATACAATCTGTCTCTGCTCACCCTCAGAACAGGAGAGAATCTGGGCACTTGCAACTAGGAAATGAACTTCTTTGCCCAAGCCAAATTGTTAATTTGTCATGCAGGAGCTTCTCTGTGGCAGGATTTTCAGTCAACCTGCAGCCCTCCTGCTGTGGAGCCTACTCAGATGGAAACAAAAGAGGGGCCAGAGGAGTGAACTGGTAACCCCACCTTTTACATTATGCATCCCTTACCTGGAAGGGATAGCTATTAGGCACTTCCCAGTACCAGGCAAGTAAACTGGTTTCTTGCCCCTCAGAAGAGCCAGGTAAACCCAGCTGGCTGACATATACAGGCAAGTTGCAAAGGACCTAAGAAACCATGGCCCCCCTGGAGGCATGTCAGGGTGCAAAACTCACCTTTCATATTTTTCCAAGCACCATTTCCTCTCCTAAACCCGAGGATCTATCCCAAGGGTTCAGCCTCTGGTAAGTCCCAATCCCAGCTAAGTGATTCTGACCCAGTGCACAGTAGCAGCACAGCACTTGAGGAGATAGCATATTCCAAGTAAAAACCTGGGGCACAGCACACAACTCCTACTCCCGCATTACACTAGCACTGGTGGAATCGTGAGCATGGCCCTCCAACAAAATCCAGGTGCACGGGCACGTGTAGGACACAAAATGGAAGCCAGGAAGGGAAGGGAAGGCAGCAGCAATCTTGTTTTGGATCATGAACTATGTGAGATACCAGCACTCACCAACCAAAGAGGCAGTGTACTACTAGGTAGCCCTTTCCACCAAGGATCCCCAAGTGCCTTACAAACAGCAATTTGCCAAGTCACCCACCCCCCTGGCAGGCCTTACCCACACGGGACATGCTAAAGAGCTTGTCCCAACATTGTG